TCTTTCATTGACTGACTTATTTCACTTAGCATAATGCTCTCCAGTTCCATCCATGCTGTTGCAAATGCTAAGAATTCCTTCTTTTTTACAGCAGCATAGTATTCCATTGTGTGTATGTACCACAGTTTTTCTTTTAATTCTTATAAAAATTTTTAGTAAAGGCAACATCTAATATAACTTAATCTATTTCACTGAACTCAATTAATGCTTTAAAATTAGCACTAAAATACTTTTTAAACTGAATCAAATTTCATTTCCCTGTAAGCTACTGGTCCAACATCGTAGATGGGAGCTAGTGTCCACATAAATCATTTTCAACCTATACTTTAATTTATTCAACAAATATTTACTGAGTATACTAATCAATGCATGTCATAGACAAAAATCCAAACCACAGAGATTTGAGTAATAGGACACAGAAAATTAAAAAGGTAAAGCACACCCCTGGCTGGTTTGGCTCACTGGATAGAGCGTCGGCCTGTGGACTCAAGGGTCACAGGTTCGATTCCAGTCAAGGGCATGTACCTTGGTTGCGGGCAAACCCCACTAGGGAGTGTGCAGGAGGCAGCTGATCGATGCATCTCTCTCTCTCATTGATGTTTCTAACTCTCTATCCCTCTCCCTTCCTCTCTGTAAAAAATCAATAAAATATATTTAATAAATAAATAAAAAGGTATAGTATATCAGATGATGAAAGATGATCTAGAGAAAAATTAAGCAAAAAAGGAGGTAGGGAGAGATGGAGTGAAGCACAGGGGAAAGAATGCAATTTAAAATTTTTGTTCTCTTTTTACTTCATTTTGACACCACTTGTTATTACTAAAACAAATTTAGCAAAAGAATATAGGCTATTCATACCTCTAGTCTAAGGACAGTAGCAGTCATTTAGATTTCCAAATTGGACATCCCAACATCAGGTTAAAAAAAAAAAAAGTAATAAACCACAATGAGTTACCACCTTACACCCACTAGGTAGCTATAATAAAAAAGAGATAATAACAAGTGTAGGCAAAGATGTGGAGAAACTTGAACCCTCATATGCTGCTAGTGGGAATCCTATATAATAAAAGAGAAACATGCAAATTAACTGTCCCTGTGTTACGCTCACGCCACGCCCACAAGCCAATCAGGAGTGAGTATGCAAATTAACCCAACTAAGATGGCAGCAGCCACAGAGCTGGAGCGAGCAGGAGGCTTGGGTTGCCCCTGGCGATGGAGGAAGCCAAGCTTCCCGCCTACCCTGGCAGGCCCTGTCTCCGCTCAAGGCTACTAAGTTCCAATAATAGAAGATAAATAAATCCCAGATACCTGCTTCCAGCCAACAGTGGCCTCTGCTCAAGGAAGGGCGGGGAGCCTGGGTTGCCAGGACCTGGGCTCCGCTTAAAGCTACAAAGTTTCAATTATAAAAGAGAAATAAATCCCAGAAAAAAAATAGAAAAAAGAAAAAAAGGAAAGGCTAGGAGCTTGGGTCGCTGGGGGGCTTGGCCAGCCTGAAAACGGCCCTCAGCCCCTCACCCAGGTTTGCTTAGGCACCCCAGCGGGACCCCCACCCTGATCCGGGATACCCTTCAGGGCAAACCAGCTGGCCGCCACCTGTGCACCAGGCCTCTATCCTATATAATAAAAGGGTAATATGCAAATTGACCCTAACAGCAGAATGACTGGGAATGACTGGTCACTATGATACACACTGACCACCAGGGGGCAGACGCTCAATGTAGGAGCTGCCCCCTGGTGGTCAGTGCGCTCCCACAGGGGGAGCTCTGCTCAGCCACAAGCCAGGCTGATGGCTGCCAGCACAGAGGTGGCAGCGGGAGCCTCTCCTGCCTCCTTACAGAGCTAAGGATGTCCGACTGCAGCTTAGGCCTGCTCCTCGCTGGCAAGTGGACATCCCCTGAGGGCTCCCGGGCTGCCAGAGGGATGTCTGACTGTCCGCTGACTGTCCGCTTAGGCCCGATCCCCCGGGAAGCGGGCCTAAGCCAGCAGGTGGACATCCCCAGCGGGGTCACAGACTGCGAGAGGGCACAGGCCGGGCTGAGGCCCCAACCCCCGAGTGCACAAATTTTTGTGCACCAGGCCTCTAGTATAAAATAGTTGAGATACTTTGTAAAACAGTCTGGCAGATCCTCAAAGGCTCAACAGTTACCATATAACCCAGCAATTCCAATCCCAGATATATACTAAAGAGAAATAAAAAAGACATGCCCAGACAAAAACTTTTACACAAATGTTCATAGCAGCATCTATAATAATAAAAACTTAATATGCTAATTAGACCCGCTGTCCTTCCAGACAAAGCCATGGTGACGGGCAGGGGTCGAAGCAGAGGCCAAGTCCCTTGCACAAATTTCGTGCATTGGGCCTCTAGTTATTTATAATGGCTTCAAAGTTAAAATAACCTAAATGGATAAACAAACTATGGTATACCCATACAATGGAATACTACTGAGCAATAAAAAATGACGTACTGATATATACAAGTGAACATGTAAAATATGCTAAATGGAAGAAGCCAATCATAAAAGATCACATAATGTACCATTCCATTTATATGAAATGTCCAGAATAGGCAAATCTATATAAACAGACAGAAGATTAGAGGTTACTTAGGAATTGGTGGAATTGGAAGGAAATGGGGATAACCTTAATGAGTACAGAGTTACTGTTTGGAGTGATAAAAATGTACTAATATTAACTGTGGCGATGACTGCACAACTTGGTGAATATATTAAAAAACTATTAATTATACAATTTAAGTGTGTGAATTGCATGATATATGAATTATATCTCATTGAAGATATTATATAAAAAATTTAAGTCATAAAATTTTTCAATAGAAAGAATTTTAAAAAATCAACTAGTTACCTGAGATTTCTTAAATGCTCCTTAAAAATACAAAACCTTTTACTTGGGCAGTTACTGTGAAAGCTGGAGAGACAAAACAGATTTTATTAGTTTTATTCTATAGTATTCACATTAATTTATAGCTATATTTCAAGTCTATAATTAAGTTTCTAGTTTTGAGTAAAAGATCATGGTATAAATAAAATAATGTTTGTCATCCTGGGTAATTCTATATTTTATCTTACACTCCATTTTACCTATTTATATTCTAATACACAAATTTCCCTATGTATTTGCTTATATGATCAGTACCCTTTTCATTACACAAAAGTAAATATTCAAGTTTTTAAAAAAGTAAAGCACAAATTAATTTTCTTATCTGTTGAAGAGTTAAAAGCAATTTTAATTTTTTGCTAATTTTTTACTGTAATATAAACAGTTATCAAGAATAATCATTAAATTGTTTTCCAATCTTAACATCCTCATGTTGGGGAGGGGGGTAGAATCTAAATGATCTTCTTGCAAGTAAACAATACACAAGCTAAATGCCACTGTTTAGCATTTATAAAATCAAACATTTAGAGAGTTCTTTGCAGTTACTAGCAGGGGTTTAAAAAAAATTTAAAGCAAAACTCATGAGTTAAAATAATGCTTCCACTAAGCATAGAACAGAAAACCCTAAACAGCCTTTGTAACCAAATATTGCTTTTATATACCCTTTTATATGTTTTTATTGATTTCAGAGCGAGGTAGGGAGAGAGAATCATTGTTCAGCTGCCTCCTGCATGCCCCCTATTGGGGATTGAGCTGAAACCTAGGCATATGCCCTGACCTAGAATCCAACTGTGACCTCCTGGTTCATGGGTCGATGCACAACCACTGAGCCACACTATATACCCTTTTATATATGGTAAGGAAAGCTTCCCTGTACTAGAAAGACAGGATTAGTTTAACACAATATCACTAAAAGTGGAGTCATGGATTTAAAATCAGCATCACCTGGGGACTGTAGATAGGAAGCCAGCTATACAATTACTTAACTGTCCTTCTACTGACAATTATTTAGAACCAATAAATCTATACAAAATATACACGAAACTCAAGCATATCTTATGAAAATTCAGTACTCTGTCTTATTTATTGTATAGGAATAATATTATTTTACCAACATTCTTTGGTTAAGTTACCAACAATGGAAATGTAAAGAGGCAAGAAATGTTGGAGAAAGGAAAGGGAAAGAAGTAGAGGAGCAGCCAAAAAGGAAGAAGAAAAAGAGTGGTAACAGTTTAACAGAAGATGAGGAGAATAGTTTCAAAAGTGAATGACAACACAGATCATCTTTAAAGGGCATGGTTAGTTGGCAGGTGGGGATGATACTCAAATTCAAGGGTAAAGAAATAATAAGCTAGTAACAAACACTTTGTACCAATGTAAAACAGTGAGAGAAAGACAAGAAATAAGGAAAGTAGGCAGTAGAGACAAATCTCCTTCATCTTAAAAAAAAAAACAACCTCAAAATGTGTGTAGCCCTAGCTGGTTTGGCTTAGTGGATAGAGTGTCAGCCTGCAAACCGAAGGGTCCTGTGTCCTGGGTTCGTTTCTGGCCAAGGGCATGTACCTCGGTTGCAGGCTCCTCCCCGGCCCTGGTTGGGGCATGTGCAAAGAAGCAAATAATCAATGTGTTCCTCTCACATCAATATTTCTCTCATTTCCCTCTTCTCTCTTCTACTCTTTCTAAAATCAATGGAAAAATATCCTCCGGTGAGGATTAAAAAAAAAAAATGTAAGCAGAAGGAACCTGGTTGAGAGGAGATAAAGTAGCAAGTTAACTGAATAAGGTGGTGGAAGAACCAGAAGAGATGAGGGACAGGGTTAACTCTGTAGAAGTAGAACATCAGGGTTAACTTTGTAGAAGGAGAACATCATTATTTCTGAGATCAACGTTGGGATGAAGATAATAGGGAAAAAAAATTGTTCAGATATAAACGAGTTAGGTAAAGAATTCTAGAAGAGCCCAGCTGGTACGGCTCAGCTGGTAGTCCCAAGAGGTCACCGGTTGGATTCCCAGTCAGGTCACAGGCCTGGGGTTTCGGGCTCGACCCCCAGTAGAGGGTGTGCAGGAGGCAGCCATTTGATGTTTCTCTCATCATTGTTTCTATCTCTCCCTCTCCCTTCCTCTCTTTCTAAAATCAATAAAAACATTTTTTTTTAAAGAAATCTAGAACAAAAACAAAGCAACAATCAAATCAGATCACCCTGAGGGTGAGGTTGACTATAAAGTTAGAGGAGTGCTGTTGGACTTTGGAAAGAGGAGTCAAAGCTCTGAAAGTGACAGGGAAATATGAATTCAAAAGAAATAAACATACATATGATGAGATTATAATGATACAAGGTAAAAAAGGGGATACAATAACTTAAAAGTTGATGTAAAGTGCTGGCACAAAAAAGTAAGGTATCATAAGGTTAGGTTAATTAAGGGGGGTGTGGAGGAGGGAGAACTGTGAGAAAGGTGTGGAAGCAATCAAGAAAGGTGGGAGAATTCTTGAGAGGAGCAGCTGATAATTATCAGAAAGTAACGTAAAGGTCATGTTATGATTTATGAGAAAATCACTTTCATTATACTTTAATTCTGACTTTTTAAAAAAAGAAACAATCTAGTTTATATCTGAACAATTTTTTACTATTTTTAACAAATAAAATCCATCCTAAAAGATGATTCTACTAATAAGATACAAATGAATGTGACCTGTGAGGCTTTCTCTGCATACTGTACATATGTACTAGGTACTCAAATATTCTAAGTTGAGTGAATTAATGAAAAAATTCCAATAATGGCATCATAACTAGAATAGTCTCTCATTTTACTGACCGAATGCAAGGCTAGATAGCTTGACAGATAGGTGGACAGAGGGATGAGAGAGAAACAGATTCAATTAAGTTCTTAGCACCACTGAAAATCCTGGAGTCTCTCAAAGTGACTGCTTTGAAGAGAATAACACTCATGAGATTACATGCATTTGTTTGGTAAATATATTTGAAACATTTACATTTTTATCTTTAAAAATAACCATTTTGAAAGTCCCATAGGAAAAAGAAATTCCCATCAAAAATCTATTTCTCAAACAGACCTATATAATTTATTTAGTCTAAATACTCTTACAATTTTAGTTACAGTAATTTTATGAGTTACTATGCTGGAAAACAGTACCAGACATTATCCTAGAAATTCTCTATTGCTAGATGTTTTTAGCTCCTTGAAGAGAAAAATTGGTTTCTAACAGGATAACTGTATTCTAAAACCAAACCTGTTGTATTATAATTCAATTGGTAATTACAGATGTTTAACTCATCTTACCTCATCATATGATTCACATAGGCTTTGCTACAGCTAGTGTTGTATCTGCAAAAACTACAGTGGACATATTTAGGAAAGTGATTTGAAAGATCTTTTATTTCGGAAAAACACTCAATGCACCTTTGAATTCCCCGACGATACCTTATGGAGATATAAAGAAAATGGTAACAATATATTTTAAAACAAAAACAACAAGGGAGAGCTTTATTAATGTTCTGTTAATTAAAACCACGCTGTTTAAATGAACATATTTAAACAGACTTGTAACTTGAAAATTTGCTATGAAACAACAGCTAGGATAAGTGTAATATCAGTTAATGCCTGTCACTGGAATAAAAGAAATTAACCAATTCAAATGTCATACGATAGAAGCATAATATATAATAATACCAATATAATAGATGAATATTATAGGAAAAATATAGGAAAGTACTGTTCAACAACAGTTGTTAAAAAAAAATACTTATATTATTTGCCTGGTCTTTATGCCATAAGTGATAGCATATGAAAGTTGAGAGTTGTATACTTTTAGATTAAATAAAGGTTTTATTATTTTATTTAATTAAATTAGTATTATATATCAGGAATAAAAGATTACCTTAAGCTCCTCAATGCTGTATTGACTTTACTTTTTCTGTTGCTACTAGCCAAAGTGCTTTGTTTTTTTTGCATATTAGAGACTTTTGATTTGAATTTAGATTTACTTCCATTAGGCTTACTTGTAGTAGGTTTACTTGCATTAGATTTAGTTGTAGTAAATTTATTTGTGTTAGATTTTGTGGGATTTTTAGCAGTTACACATTTTGTTCTCGGAGGTGAGGCCTGAAGGATAGAAGTGTTTGTACTAATGGAAGGTACAGTTGAAGATCCTGATTGAAGAGGTCCAACTGAAGCTCGAATAGTAACCTACAAAAACAGAGATAATATTTACTTTAGAAAATTAATCCTTGCATAAGTATTAAAATATCACCATGTAACAAAAAAGTTAAATACCAAGTATTTTTTAAAAAGTATAAACTATAATTGGACAAGTCTTCCATTTATTTTAAATACTTAAATGAAATTAAAATTTGATATTTATTTACTTACATTTTTATACTGATCAGTTAAATGTTGTTATTAATGGATAATTAGGATTATATGGGTATTAAAAAGAGCACATTCCATAGCTATCTTTATGCTCTGATATAATTTAAAAAATTCATATAGAGGTCAAAATTTAAATCTCAAAACCTGAAAAATAACTCTGGAAAGGCCTGCATTACCCTTTGCCCTGCATTACCCACAGTAAGTGTGCCCTGCATTACCTACAGTAAATGTGACCTCCTCTTTCCAGGGGCTCATTTAGCAGAATTTATGTTTACAAAGGTTGTGGGGTGGGAGGGGCTACATCAATTCAATATACTTCATGGAGAGTGTAATAACATTTAGAATTTCCTTAAAGAGAACTAATATAAAGCTTATGAGGTAGTATTCAAAAATTATATTAGTTTAGTTGACAATGGAAAACACAAACGCTTACCAACCTTCTCATTAATCATATGACTATTCTCCCCTCATGTATTTATTATGAGTAGTCTATGAGGAAGTCCTTTAAAACATGTGTGGCAGCATACAAAAGCAATGAACTAGGAATCAGATTTGAAGTTAAATCTCATACAACTCCTTCCTAGTCATGTGGCCTAGAATAAGTAACTTATCCTCTCTAAGCTTCTTTACCTATATACTATAGGGCAATACCTGCTTTGTTTATCTCACCAGATTGCTGTATGAATTAAATAAAAGAATCTATAAAAAAGCATACTGAAAGCCTAATTCTAAGATTTGAGAAAAACATTTAGTATCATTATTAATATTATTATTGCTATTATCATTAATAAGGGAAAATATGAGAGAGGACTGCACCGCTTACATTCATGTTATGCATGTCTAGTCCCAGCATGGAATGAATGGATTGCAGGGAAGGATGCTGGATAGCTTCTCTTGCTCTAGGTCTTCAGAGCATGGCTTTATATTGTTTAGTTAATTCAAATAACAGACATACCCACATTCAAAGGTAAGTACCCAAAGCCAAATATAAATGTTTTGGGGATTATTTCACTTTGGATTATCCATGCCTCTGTTTCCCTCCACTGGAGCAAATATTCAAGAGCTGACTGTATATAAAGAAGTCAGAAAAAAACAGGAATATAAGGCAAAAAGGGAAAGGTAAAATACAATCATCACTATGTAGTCAGACATGTGTTTGCTCACTTAAAACACAATGCTATCCAGCAGCAGAACTTGTTTCTCTGAGAGTAGACTCAGTAATAACAACTTCAATAAACATCTAAGAACCTATGGCATTCAAAGCACTATACTAGATGCTGAGGACACAAAGATAAATAAATCATGATTCCTGATCTCAAATAGTTTAGCAGATAAAACCCATATATATATACTGCCTACAAGAATAGCTCAAAAATAGGCTATATAATATTGACACAACCCACTGACCCAGGAAACACAGTATCTAGTTGCACTTTTTACAAAGGAATACCATTCTAGCATAGCACACACAACCACTGAAAAAAACAATGGTTAGGTTTTTTTTCTAAACATAAGAATGCTAAAATTTGACATTGGAGTCTTAATAAAAATCAGAAACCATTTTTTAAAGTATTATATTCAATGGATAAAACCAGATAGGAGTTAATTTTATTATCATACCATATGTTAAAATACAACATATTTACACTCACTTTTGTTCCAGGAGGTAGTCCTTCTAGCTCTTTAGGTTTTATAAATGTTCGATGATGCTGAGTCTTGTGATCCATTTTCTCTTTGCATGTCAAAAATTGCAGTCTGCATTTTGTACAACGATGTATTCCTTTTTTCTGTTTAGAAAACAGGAAAAATAATTTCTACAACCACAAATCCTGTGTCCTGCAACTGTTCTGATTTAACATTAATGATACCTAAATAATTTTTAAAATAGTATCTTATATCTCTCATCATAAATATTAGTGAAGTATTATTTCAATTTTTAAAATACTCTTTGCATTAGTATTTAGGTTTCAAAAATGTCTGTTACTGTACAGAAGTTGAACATGAAAGTTGTATCAATAGCTTCTAATGAAAGGTATCTCAATAGTGGTATTAAAGCTCCATTAATTATAATTTTAAAGTATTTAGACAAAGGATACTATGAAAATGAGCTCTACTATGTTTTTATCCCAGAAAAATATAAATTCTTTCTCATTTTTGCTCTTTCTGGTTGGTTAAAAGTTGGTAAAAGAAATTTAAGTATCTAACCAGACATTTAAAGAAAGTTGTTATAGAAATGCTTGTATAAAGCAGTGCTAGCTAATAAAATTTTCTTCAGTTATGAAAATGTTCAAGAGCTGCACTGTCCGATACAGTAGCCACCAGCCACATGTAGTTAACTGAGTACCTGAAATGTGCTGGACATTTATTTAATCTTAAATAGTCACAAATGATTAGTGGTTACCACACTGAATAGTGTGAATATGGAGGGATAAATCAAAACTATTCCTGATACACTTACTGACTGAGACACCTTGACTGAGTCCCTCCTTAAAACCAACCCTGTCACTATGCTATAGATGGGAAATAGGATCCAAGAAAAATCTAAATCATTTCCCCATAACTACTAAGTAACATTGCCAGATTCCTGACCCAACATTTTTTCTACTACATAATATCAACTACAAACTTTATCTATATGGTCTCATTAATTACTTATGTATATACATATAAAAATACATACATATAAACTTAAATACAAAAGAATGTTTTCTCTAAAGTTGCAATGTGCCAGATAAATCATTACCATTTAAATATAATCAATCACTTTTTAACCTAAAATAAGGTTAATATCCTGGGAAGAACTTGCACAATTATTGGTACACAGCAGGCATTTCATAAGTTCTTTACAAAGTTCGAAATCCAGTTCCCAGAAATCTTTTTTATATCTATAATCACTCCTTAGGTTACCTCATCCAGTTTCAAGGCTTTAATACCATCTATCCAACTGCTTACTTAACATTGCTATTTGATGTCTAATATACATCTCAAATCAACATGGACAAAAGTGAATTCTGAATTTCCTCCCTATATCCCTGCCCCCCAAAATCTGTTCTTTCCTCAGTCTTCCCCATATGATAGTATGTAAAAACTCCATTTTTAGGACAAAAAATTTGGTCACTCTCTCTCACACCCCATACCCAACCCATTAACAAAACCTGTTGGCTTCACCTTCAAAAACTTTCATAATATTTCCACTTCTCATCACCTCCAACCATGGCTACCATATTGGTCCAAGTAACTCTCCTGGGGTACTATAATAATCTCCTATCTTCTCCTTGTCATGTTCTTTCCTCCCTGTAGTGTATTCTTCCCATAGCTGTCAATGGTGCTACAACATGGCAGACCTTTCACATGCTTATAATGCTCTGAGGGCTTTCTAAAGCCCTGGTTCAGATTTACAAGGCTTTACAAGAACAGGCCCATATTCTATTGCTACAACCTTATCTCCTACTAGTCCTCTTATTAGTTTACTCTGCTTTGGCCACAACTGGCCTCTTTGGTTGTTCTCTGAGTATAAATTCACTTACCTCTCCCAGATTTCCACATGGCTTACTCCTTTATTTCCTTCAAAGAGGCCCTTTTTGACCACTCTCTATACAAAACGGCAAACACTCCTCCAACACTTCCCAATCGTTGGCACTCCCTATCCTCCACATTTCCTTCCACAGTAACTATCACTAGCTAACATGCAGATATGCTCAAATATAAACACACATTTTTTATTACCTTTCTCCACAATAATACGAATTCCAGAGGATACAAACTTTGTTTTGTTCATTGCTACAAAAAACCTAAAACAGCACCTGGCACACAGTAAGGCAACCAATAAATATTTGTTAAATAAACGGACAGTGAGGCAGAAAGAAAGAGAGTGACAGAGAAAATGCGTATAAGCAGCAGGTACAATTTAACTAATTCAAAACGTCTGACACTCCAGTCAATGAACATTTGTCCAGAGCCCTGAGAGAGAATACATTAATCTATTATTCCCTTAGTTGGACACAAGTCTTGAACATCTCTCATGTGTATATATGCATTTCAAAGTGCTGATGCTGATATTTTAATAATGTGATGTTCAGTCAACAACAAAAAAACAGTGATCATTCCAAGGGTAGGTAAATAATTGTCTATGTTTAACTTTTGACAAGCATACTACACTGTTTGGGAAACTTGAGGGATTTGAGGGTAATTCTGACTTATTATAAGTATTTTCTGCCCTTATACATTAATACCAATGTGAAATCTGACTCTGTGGGAAAGCAACAGAAGGCTGGGCTCTGAAGTCAAATTTTAACTCTGCTTTTTATTAGGTAATGTGACATTGGACAAGTTACTTTCTCTAAAACTTAGTTTTCTTATCTGTAAACTAGAAATAATAATATACATAGGGTAGGTGTAAAGATTAAATAAGGTAATGCATGTAAAACACCTGCTGCTGCCATAAATGGTTGCATATCGTTTTAACTGCTTGTTATTTTTTATTAAAGATCTAATGAGTATATTTAACACATCAAAAATCACTTTCACTATTTTAAAAGTCATACAAATTGGGCAGTCAGCTCTAAAATCACCCAAGACTTAATCATAGAACCTCTTAGAGAAAAGTTACAACCAAAATCTTCAAAGACAATAAAATGAGCCACACAGTCAACAATTCTTATTGTTTAATATCACACTAATAATGTGTTATCAATTACAAGTTTATAATCCTGCTCAGCTAAGGTTTTCCAATCTTTTGTAAATAATTATATAATTTGTAAATACCTTGAAGGATGCTTGATTATCCTTCTTATTAATAGATTTCCCCCTCTCTACTGCTGGCTATCTACCTCCTAAGTACTCCTAACAAACAAACAATAAAAACCTGGGAACCCAAGGCAAATTAAGACATAAAACTTAGGGTACAAAAACTGATAAATCACAGAGCCCACATAGTAGGCTCACACATTTCTTTCATAATTATCATTCTTCCACATCTACATTTTACTCCGGAGCTTAGTAAAGCATATGGGAAAAATTACATGAAAAGCCCCATAATGAAATAGAACTACTATCTCATATCTCATTTTCCCTTTCAAAATTAAAGGCCAAACATTAGAAAGAGTACCAGAAGTATTGTTTCCCAAACTGTGTTCCTCAATAAAGTTAACAGATATTCTGAAAAGATTCTGTGGTCAAATAAGTTGGGGGAATAATACACACTTATATACCTTACTTGGAGAATTATAATGTTTTAGCATATTAAAACCTCTGAGAAGTCCTATTTTAAGAAACAGACAAAACTGTTTAATTTTATAAATCCAGGCATTTACCAAATTTATTTACCAGTAACAATTTGGGGGGAAACATCTATTAACACATGATGGAACACTGTTAAGGAAACCTAGAACAAAAAATCTTCACAGAACTTCTCAAGGATGGGTAGCATCCCAGTCACAACATAGGTAATTCCAAATTCGTTTGGAAATTCTTTTATAATTTTTCCCAATTAAAAACCATAAGTCAATTTTATGATTATCTAATGATTGAAATGGAAAGCAAAGTGAGCAACCAATGCTGAATAAACTGGCATGTCAATTTAACCAATAATTAAAAATATGATGAGCATCATGAGAAGTGAGGTGTCAAAACTTGGTTACATGATCAGATTCAGTAAATCCATTGACTTCTAGGTTTGGCAATAGCACTAGTGCTCTTTCAAGCACTAAAGAACAGATTGTGTTGCATCAAAGTTTTCAGCCCAAACAAAGGATGGTTTAATTGCTTCATGGAAAAGAACCAGTAAGCAAAAAATCATAATTCAAGATAGAGGTATAAGCACTAATCCTGGGTTCCAAAAATTACATAGCAGAACTGGCAGAAGTCACCCAAAAAACAAATTATGACCTAAATGCAGTTCTTTGACAATGCTCACATATCCAGCAATAAGTGTCATTACTATTTCCTTTGTCATTGGCAGCTATAAAAGACCACTGCTGGTCAATGATGACAACATGTTTTCTCAGAATTAAGAGGGCTAGAAAGTAGCAATAAAGTAGTAAGAGAAAGAGGAAAATAAGATTATGAGTCCCCAATCTTTTCTTTCTCAGTTCAACTTCATCTTTTCACATGCTCCTGTTATCTACCTTCAAAATCCCATAAACATTCTCAGACCCTGAGATATTTGATCTTTTGGATATTCCACTCATCTTCCCTTTTTTCCTTCAATCCTTAGGTTTCCTATTTCTAGCTATCTTTCAGAATTTTCATTTATGAGCCACAACATCACCAGAAAGGAAGCAAGGTAAAGTGGAAGTTTCACAAGTAAAGTAGCACAAACTGCAAATTAACAGTGTCATTTGGAACAATTTTACTTCCCTTGTAGAACAAATCTTATGTTTCTAAGTCATAATCTATCTTTTCGCTAAAACAACATGAACAAATAAGAACTGGTCATCTCACCTGATGCTTCATATAATGATGCATATAGGGTGTGGCAATTTTAATAACTTTGAGGCAAAATGGACATAGCAAGTTCTTAGTGTTTTCATGGGATGATCTAAAATGAGTTTCTACATCAGAAAATGATGACGATCTATAATTGCAAACCTACAAACAAAAAGAATGTTAAGCTTAACTTGAAAATGTACACGATATACAATTACCGAGTAGTAATACATCATTTATTTAGAAGAACATTACGTACAACTAATTCAGCTCTGATGCCTACACAACCAAGAATCCTATTAACGCAAGCACTAGATGATCTTTGAGACAGAAAAGTTATCTTTCCAAGTTAAGGAATATTTCCCAAAATATAATTAGAGTCCCTTCTTTTCATTAGATGTTTTTATGTATCACCCCCTATCCTGACTTGAATTTTCAAGCTCTGACACTTCTTGTCCTATAAAGTATTTTCTGCTATGTAAAACAGCATCTTCCTTTAGATTATAAATTGCCTCCAGGCTATGGCAATGGTCAATTTATTTTTATCATGCTTTCCTATTCCTTCAAATTCTGGAAAAATACTAGGCCCAGAGAATTTTGTAGTATGCTCTGTATCTAAAATAATTTCATATTTCCCTTGTATAACTATATTCTTCCCTATATAGTAAGATAAGTCCATAGTTTGTCTTTTCCCCTCAGAGCTTTTCTTTATCGTATAGGAGTGAGTAAACAATGGCTTGTGGGCCAATTCCAAATCTCTACTGACCCTATATACAATACATGAATAATGTCACAGGACTTTCTACTAATAAATTATTTACAAGAGGAATTTTAACAGTAAATTTCATCTAAATGGTTAGAAAATAAAAGAATGTATTTCATGACACAAGAAAATTATATGAAATTCAAATTTGTGTCCATAAATAAAGCTTTATTGAAACACAGCCACATTCATTTACTTACTTATTTTCTGTGGCTGCCTTTGTGCTATAGTGGCAGAGTTGATTAGTTGCAACAGAGACTGTATGACCTTTAAAGCCTGAACATTTACTATTTGCCCCTTTTACAGTAAAAGACTTGCTACCTCCTGGCCTAATAGGTTTAAATCTTGTAACCAAAATAACAGAAAACAATCAAAACAAACAAACACTAAGTACACAATAAAATATGTGTATACCTGGCAAATATATGGCATTTCACCGGGTTTATGATTGTCCTTCATATGTTGTAAAAGAATATGCTCTGTTTCAAATGATAATTCACAGATTTTGCAAATGGCTAAAAGTGGGGGTGGGGGGAAGACATTACATCATTTCAAGATATATAAATACATACACACACAAACACACACACATCAAATCATTATCTGTACACCTAAAACTAATCAAATGTTGTATGTCAATTATACTTCAAAATATTTTTTTAATTTTTCAAATAAAGTATCCTTCTGAGGCAAACAAAGATATATATATATAAAATTCATTTTATGCATCTATAAACAATAACAGTAATAACAGCAGACTTGGTGGTGGTGGTAAACAGTTAGTTTTGCAGTTAACTATGTTCTAAGCACTTTACTTACAATAACTCATTTAATTCCCATAACAACATTATGAAGCAAGTATTTCCATTATCCCCATTATTCAAATATTAAGAATAACTTGCCTGAGATCACATAGCTGTATTAAGAGGAAGACCTGGGATTTGAACCCAAGTGGTCTAGTTCCAAAATCTATGTTTTTTAACTACCACTATTAGTTACTTTTCTTATTCAAGTTTAAATAAAGGGCATTAATTTCATATTTGAAAACTGATCTAAGGCTTCTAACTTAGCCCCCCACTTATAATGCTCACGTTATTTTCCTTAATTATTTAAAAGAGTGACTTTAATTTTTGTAATTTTATTTAAAAGTTTACATTAATCAAAATGTAACCTTTTCCATTTTACCCTCAAATTCCAAAGTCTTTTTCTTCTTCTTATTGTTCTAACAAGCTTAAGGTTTTCTCAGAATATTGACAAAATCAATAATATTTGATACTTAAAATGAAACTGTAACTTACTAGAAAATTCATGGGGTGTGTGTGTACTTTCAATGTGACATTGCAGTTGAAATGGTGTGGGAAACTGACGGTAGCAGTGCTGGCAGGTGGTGTGGTTTTCCCAGCTTTCACTGCTCTGCTTCTCAAGTTCCAAATGGTGTTTCATGTGGTTCATAAACCTATAAATGATTGTCAACAGGTGCAAAATTCAGATTTAAAAACAAAAATCTCACAAATAATTATCTGAATCTTAGAATATAGATATATTACATGAAATAAATTACATTCCTCTAGAAAAGTGTGCACTTTAAACAGTCACTTTCATTAAGTGACTACATAAACATCTTTTTTTAAATCTTTGTTTTAAAAATCCATTAATGTAATTAATCTGAAATATCATTAATTTGCTGTGATTTAATCGTTTCAGATTATTAAAATGTTTTCTTAAGGTGAAAGAGCAGGCTTCTTTTTCATACATGAAATACTATTTACATTTTTCAATAAAATACTCAAAGGAAGGAAACCCTACCACCAAAAGCAGCTACGCAGTTATGAGAGTAATCCTGTAAGGCCATGAAGATATACAATAGATTCCAGTTGCTTAAAAGACAAATTACAGGTATTTTTACTTGTGTCTTAATTTCTAAATGTATGTACTAGCAATTTTAATGCCTACAATTATAAAAACTTTTTGTTTTATTTAATGATATTGGTTTACTGTTAGCACAGACTGTTCATTTTAACTTGCAGACTGTGCCCTTTGTAGGCAAAGTCCATTTTTCAGTTTTACATCCTGCTACGTCAACCTCCCTTAGAGGCTTCTTATAAGCAGGAACTATGACCTTCAACAACAGAGGGTGCAATATAAAAGGGAATACCTATTTAAAAGAGCTTACTGAAGCTTTTTGCTATAGTTGAAAGTAAAGTTATTCAATCAAAATAACAATTTTTAGACTGGGGCAACTATTAACAATTATTCACTTTGAGTCCCTAAAGGAAGTAATCTTAAAACAAAGTAATAATGTCATCAATATGGACAGCAAACATCATGAAGGTCTTTTTCACATATCCACAACACTACTTCTCTTTAGAATAGGTTATGACACTCCTTGAAAAATCTTTTTGTCCTCCTTTGGTTTTAATACCAACTCTATGAACACCTATAGAAAATCCTAGACTTGGTTAAATATTTACACATAGAGAAAAGTGAGCCATTAAAATTTCAGCTTACAACTTTAAGCAATTAAAAGTTTATCTATATAATCACTTAACTAGCAAGCTTTCCCTCAATTATTATATGAGCCCCCATCAGGAGCTCATACTACTTAAGACAACAGATGAAAATAAGGGAAACAACGAAAAAAAAATCCAAACCTCTTGCAAGGATGTTCACAGAATAAATAAACCTAAGTGTTTTTGGTGAGACTCAATGTAGGGGAAAAAAATACCATACCACAATATGTTCAAAGAGCAAAGCGTAAAAACCTAAATCTGTGAGTTTCGTGCCATTCTCTACAAATATCAATTTGCCTTTCCATTTTTTTACTATAAGATAATCAGTATTTCAAAAAAATGCCCAATTCCTGGATGTTATAAAAAATTGTCTTTGTTTAAAATGTCTATATAATTCTGATATTCTTGAAATACGTATCTAGTCTTCTGAAACAACAGCAAAAAAGGAAATGTTTTATTTTCATATGTTTAATACTAAATGGGCTAATCTTAAAGGAAAAGCCAAAAAACTGTTGCTAAAATAACTTCCAACATAATATACATAATATTTAGGTATAACAAGGAACTAAGTCAGTGACCATATTTCTATGCAATTTAATATATTCACTAGCAAAACTTTTCTGGTGTATTTTACTATCAAAATGGTCAGAATATGGAAATATGTGACAATTCTATTATAATACTGTTTCAGTGTTATATCACAAAGTACAATACCTCTTCTGTTAAATGGCTAGAACCATTCTCTATTGATGACTGTTAAAGTTTAATAAAAGGAGATAAATGTGAAAACTCATATGAAATAATATATGTGAAAGAACTTTGCAAACTAAAACACTACCATAAACAAAACATTAAGAATTGCTATAGAAGTATAGAATAGTGCATTTCAGGATTTTTCTGTCTTCTTTTTGAACCCAAGAGGAACTGACAGGAAAATAAAATAAACACTGGGTCCAGAAGTAAAATACTGATGCCAAAGAATGCTAATTATAAATAATAGTTATCAAGGATAAACACAGAAAGGCATATTTATATATGTATATATGTTTGTGTACTCAAACACACAACTCACCTAAGGGAAGTATAGAAGCACAGTAAAATGTTAATGATAGAATCAAGGTGGTAAGTATATAGGTGTCCACTGTAAAATTTTACAAAATGTTGCTGAATGTTTAAAAATATTTTATAATAAAATTATGGAAAAACAACCATACCTAATATACATGTAAAGCTATATAGCCAATGAAAAATATTGATCAATATCTTATTACTTTGTTCTTTAACTCGTTTATAAGATGACAGCTACTAGAGTTTGCTGTGTAACTCAAAGATTATAAAGTCTAAGTTCCTAAAATTTATAGCAAACATGTATAAAATCTTCAAAATTCCACTGGAAATTAAATCTCTAATTTTTAAAGGGGTTACATTTTAAAATAAAGCAGACATTCTTTCTAAAGAACTGGTACTTCTCTAAAGAAGATCACTTTTTATGCAATGTAAATAATTTAAAAAATATAAATATCAACTGACAAATTTGAGCATTAAATAAAATTAAGTCGAACTGGCCCTAACTGGTTTGGCTCAGTGGATAGAGCGTCGGCCTGCGGACTGAAAGGTCCCAGGTTCGATTCCGGTCAAGGGCATGTACCTTGGTTGCAGGCACATTCCCAGTAGGAGGTGTGTAGGAGGCAGCTGATTGATGTTTCTCTCTCATTGATGTTTCTAACTCTCTATCCCTCTCCCTTCCTCTCTGTAAAAAATTAATAAAATATATTTAAAAAAGAAAGTCAAACTGGGCAAAACATAAAGAGTGGTTCTTATAAAGAAAAATCAAATTCAAAAGCAGCTAAAAATACAAATTATCTCATGAAATTCCTAGATCACAGATAATATAAGGAAAATAAGTTAATTGTGTTTTATTTGAGTAATGTTCATCCTTTCTTAAGTTATTTTTAAGAAATACAAGTAGCTCTAGGAGTCAACTCTAAAATATAAGGAAGGACAAAAGCTTTTCAACAAGAGAATCTGCCTTTGTTGTTAGTAGAAAGTGTTAAAAATCTAGAATGGCACAGAAAAATACCAGATAAACACAAAAATTTTATCTGCAGCATTCCAATTTTCAAATAGAAATAAGTATTTACATACCTAATATTATTTTTAAGAATTTTCAAGCAACTGAAGCATTTAAAGGTGGTGTGAGTCTTCTGTTCTTCTTGGACATCTCCTTCATGTTTTCCATAATAAAAGTCATTAACCAACATGATCAATTTTCCTTGCTCTGAATCAATAGTGTTATCTTTATTTGCTGTACTTGAAAATTCAGTTTTAGGCAGTCCCAAAAAGTTATTTATCATGTCTGGACAACAGTACTGAAAGAGAAAAAAAGAGAAGCCTTCTTTACCCTTTAAAAACACAGATACTCCCAAATTTTCTGTGCTTAACTCCATTGCCAGACCATGTAAAACAATGCTTGGTAATGTAGCTAGAAAAATATTCACCAAAAGTTTGTGGTGCATATACATAGTCTAAAACAATTCAAAAAAAGAAAACCTTAAAATCAGGACTTGCTATTGATCTAAAAGTGTCTTCCTTGCAATTAGCTGTTTCAGATGTATTGATAATAATTTAAATACTTTAATTAAAACTAAACTAAAAATCATTTATTTCATATCCATGTCTAGAAAGAGTCTAGAAAGAAAATGTAATTTTATGTGTCATAATGTATATATTAATTATTAAGTGACATAGTAAATTTCGTAATATATGGTTGGAACTGGACATGGAGCACAGCGAGTCTGCCATTCCCCATACTCAAAGTGCTGTAAAATGTATGGGGAAAAAGAAAGAAGTATCAAGTATGTCTTGATAACATCAACAGTTACATCTTGATATCCAGAATGGTTAAATATTTGAAGGGGAGATTTAGTTCCTCATGAGTAAAATCAGCATATTACATAAACTGATTTTAATATGGAACACTTTCATACATGAGCTTTTTTTCCCTAGCAAGATATAACTAATTCATTTATTTACATAATTTTAAGTGCAAAATTTACCTACAGTAGATTTTCTCAGAGGAACACCTGCATTAGAAAAACCAAAAGTGCTAGTCAAAATGCTAATTCCTGGGCCCACTTCAGACCAATAAACTACAATGTCAAGAGGTAGACCTCAGAAATCTGCCTTTTTAATAGCCATCAGATAATTCTTTTAAAACATAAACCAAGTGACTTAAACTCTTCCTAAATGTGTTATTTAGTAAATTAGTAGCAACATCAGAAAGTTTGAAAATCTAAAAGCAACTCTATTCCATTTCTAAGATAACAACATCCACTTCCTCTCCTGTCACATTGAAATGTTAGATCATCAGTGAAACTTTGTGTCTCATGAGAAGCTGGGCCTTTGATCCAAAGCAGACCTATAACGTTTCCTTCAATTGCACTTATTTTGTTCACTTTTCAGTTTTGAAACCTATAAAGGAAAAGAGACCAATAAAAACCAAGCCCACAAAATCTAAAGTACACCAAAAAGAGAGGGGAAAAAATACTGAATAAAATGGACTGAAAAATAGGGACAAAATTAGTGTTTAAGAGTTAAGGTTGCGCCCATAAACTAAACCAGGATAAATGTATTAGTTCTCTAATACAAAATGATCATCTGCAGTCCACTACTAAGAATAAACACAGTTGGCCCTAGCTGGTTTGGTTCAGTGCATAGAACGTCGGCCTGCAGACAGAAGGGTCCCAGGTTCGATTCTGGTCAAGGGCACATGCCTGGGTTGCTGGCTCCATCCCCAGGAGGGGGCGTGCAGGAGGCATCCAATCAATGATTCTCTCTCATCATTGATGTTTTTATCTCTCTCTCTCTCCCATCCTCTCTGAATCAATAAAAATATATTTTTTAAAAAAGAATAAATACAACAAAGAGGAAAATGAGAAAGGTTTTTCTATATTTCTAGATTCTTCCTGAGACAGATAATATTTAAGAGCTCAAACTTAGGAAAGTCAAGTTATTTCTAAGGACTTTAGTCAGGCTAAATTTCTTCTTAAAAATGCTGTTTTTTACTTTAAGGAGAAAAAGATGGATCAGAGTAAATCTACCAGCACTATTAGAAAAACGATTCAAAATATATCTTACTACGACAAATGACGTTATTAGTAGCATCAGTCTGATAGACAAACTTCTCACCTTATCCAGTTTTACTAGAGAGGATCTCAAACAACAATGGGAAAATGTTATAATGCACAAAAATAATGTAATACAGGATAGTCTCCCTAACCTTATATACTCAAACATTAAATCTGACTTTCAGACTGTAGAAGTTATTCTGAGTCATATTTGATACTTCATTCTTTTCTGAAACCTACAAAATAATCTAGTAATCTATAGTAGAATGTGCTGCAAGGTTTATATTCTTTAAAATTTTCTAATTTGGTACATCTATAAAAGTTAAATTTACCCTAATTACCCATTAATTATGATATGTATAACAAATGATTAATTGCTTGCTGTTCTATTTTCTTTTTTTTAATACAGGTAAGTAAGATAGGATCTTCAACAGTATCTTTTTTTAAAAAAATATATTTTATTGATTTTTTACAGAGAGGAAGGGAGAGAGATAGAGAGTTAGAAACATCGATGAGAGAGAAACATCGATCAGCTGCCTCCTGCACATCTCCTACTGGGGATGTGCTCGCAACCCAGGTACATGCCCTTGACCGGAATCGAACCAACAAGGTTTCATGTCCTTTTAAAATAGCTGAATTGATAAACCACTGACAACTAAGAATGGACAAGGTGAATTGAACTATGTGAAAGGATTTAATAACTGAGAGGACAGCAAAAATACCTAAACAAAATATTCAAAAGGCAAGACAATAACTGAAGAAATGAGAACTAGTCTTGATTTAAGGTTTTATAGGAGGACAGGGTAAAGTTATAAGTTTGCATGGCTGACCTATAGTCCAAGATCAAGTGGTCATCTTTATTAAACCCTAGCCTTTCGCTATTGCCCCTGGTTTATCCCTTCTTTTCATGGGTTAGACATTCTGCAATATTAAAAACTTTATTTCAATATACTGTAATTTGACAAACAGCAGACACCATCTGAACTTCATTCTCATTTTCATTCCTTTCCATTGATAGACCATGTTCTGTTACTTTGTTAGTACTGAAAAATTTAGGTAGGATTTTCAGAGCAAAGAAGATAGGTACCATTTTTAAATAGTAAAATAGTACTTCCCCATACGATCATCCTATGTAAGTCTAAATTTTCCCCTTCTCCTTCTGGGATTCACCCAAAAGCCACAACAACCAAATTCTAAAAATTTTATTTTCACTGAAACTAAATGCCAGACTAAACTCCACAGACTCCACATTGAAAGCACTACTAAAAGCAGCCAAGTTTAGAGAGAAGACATGCAGTTGGAAGTAGATCGACGCAGTCAAAAGGACCTAATAGTAAAGATCTTAGAAAATCTCAGCAAAAATATACATTCTAAAAGTGAAAGACACATATTGAAGTCCAAAGCTATAGCCTTTGTTTACAAAAATGGGTATAGGAGCTGGCGCAAGAAGGATGGCAGAAGTCCCCCAGCCCTCATTTGGTAGAAAGAAGTAGAAAAGGCAATGCTACTTATAAAATCAGACACACAAGTCACACTTTCAGGAAGTCTTTTGTCCAGCAAAGAGTAGTAGGCTGTGAGATTATCCTGGAAACCTATGCTCCCCAATAGGAGCCTTGCACAAAACAGCCCAAGAAATCCAATTTGTTCAATGATAGGAACTTACATCTACTGGTAAACAAAAATACTTTAAGATAAAAAGAAGGAAAATGTAAATTTCTGACAAAAAAAAAAAACTGAAGCAGATGCATGCAAGATGGTAACAGGCTAAAAATTTTGCTAAAGTTTGTAAAAAACTTAATAAAGCAATTGTGCCTATTTGGAAGATCACATGGACAAGAGGAAATGGCAAGACAAAAAGAAGACATAAAAAAGAGAAGCAAAATTGAAGTAGAAAATCAACTTAGAGAGATAAAGACGAAGCAGAAAAAATGGAATATAGTGGTAAATAGACACTGTAAAGTAAAATAAAATAAATAAAATAAAATAGATGAATAGATGGCATGGGCTAGTAATGAGAAAAACATATAATTGCTTTTTAAAGAAAGAGTTAAAACTACTAGAAAGAAAATGACAGCTATGCCAGACCAAAAACACTGAACAAATATACTGGACAATACTCCCTCCACAAAAGAGCAAAACAACTTTATGGAATAAATATTTAAAAATATAAATCAAGAAAACTGCATTAAAATAAAGGAAGACACCAATATAGAAGTTGAAAAAAAATGTATGTAGAAAAGAAATTGACCCAAAATTTATACTAACCATTACCAAGTCAGGTTAGTATAAAATTATCAGTCTTCCAAAATAAAAATCCTGTGAACAGCCAGGCCAAAACATCAAATTACTTATGAATGGCAAACTAATTCAGGTTTATCCCAGATTTCTCAATAGTGACATTCAAAATTGTAAAACAGGAGCACCACCCACAAGATCTTTACATTGGGATCCAACTTACTTTATATCTGGCCAAACTGTTTTTTACAAAAATGGAATACAGTAAACATGAAAGAACTCAAAGAAAGCTGTTCACAGGACCTTCTTCAGGAAATTACTAGAGAATGAACTTCAGCAAAACAAGAAATAACCAAAAAAAAACCATGACAAAATTTCTAGTGATGAATACTGATGATATTTACTGTAAAAAAGGGATTAAGACAAATGTGGAAATAAGGATAAGAAAATCAAATGCAAACAAAGAATATAGCTTTGTACTTCAATATGTTTATTTCACCTTTAGAATGCATATTTTTGCTCACAATGAAAAAAATGATACATCCAACAAGTAAAAACTAGAAGTTAAAGGACAATGATTATGAGATTGAGATAGTTCATAGAGTGCCACATATATGCTAGTAGCACATAAAGAAATATCATTTAAAGCTATCAAATAAAGTGGTATAGGTATGAGCATTTTTAATAATACAGAGGTAAACACTAAGGTAAAGTAAGGTAGGAAAAGAGAAGTAAAGATAGAAAGGTTAACAATAGAAAATTTAATGCTACTTTAAACAATTTTAATAGAAAATGGCCAAAGAAATAGAGTACTGGAATTACATTAACAAAATTATGAGGATAAACAGGAGAACAAAAACAAAAAAAATCCAAACTACACATATAAACACAAACCAAAGTACATATATATTTTAAAAGGACAGGATAACAAAAAATTGTGACAGAATGAAGATCAAATAAATCTATCATCAGAGAATATCTATCTATCTATCTATCTATCTATCTATCTATCTAAAAACCTAGCCCTAACGGGTTTGGCTCAGTGAATAGAGCATCGGCCTGCAGACTCAAGGGTCCCAGGATCGATTCCGGTCAAGGGC